AATCCAGTTAACAAGCTCTTAATCCCCGATTTCTTCTTCGAATCAGACGATTTCGATTTCGATTTGTGACGGCTACCTCCGCCGCAACAGCAGCAAAGCCACGACGGCCAACAATCGCAGGTCATCTTCTTTCGTTTTTCCGATACCGGAGGTTCGTATCCGTACAATGCTGGTCTATTGAATACACATCCTGTTCCAACATAGACTGGTCCTTGAATCCCATCTAATCCTCTCATGTTTATCTGCAAAATGTAACATAATGAGTCAGATTTTAGGGTTTTGATTCGATTTGGTTGAGAATGTGTGATGATTTACATCGAAGAAGACGATGTTTCTGTTTGCGTATCGATCGTTTCGATCAATTCCATCGAATCTCTGAGGGAATTGAACATAACAGAGCTTTTTCCCGAGCTGTGGATCCATCAGAAAGCACATTGATTCTCTAATGGCTCTACTGTTGTTGATGTAATGATCACAATCCAAATTCAGCATAAATGGAGCATTTGTGAGCACCGCAGAGACTCGAACCTGACACAGTTCAAACCAGTGTTTATTAGAAACAGTTGCTTCTCTAATGGCATTACATGTTTGTTGTTTTTGCTTACCATTGCATTCATGGCTCCAGCTTTCTTGTGGTGTGCGTAACCAGGACGCTTCTCTCTCGACACGTAGACAAGGCGTGGCAATTCGTTACCATCGATATCGAAAGCTCCTTCTTTTCCTAGATACACCTGAAAGAAAATTGGAGCCCCAAAGTAGTGTTTTAGATTCAAAGGTTGAATCTTTAATGGTATTATCCAAAGAGAATGTTGGGGTTTGAGCTTTTATATGCGACCTGAATCATCCCGGGATGATCACGAGTGTTGTTCCCAGGCCATGGTGTACCGTCTTGCATCACCCAACCTTCTTCAGGTTTCTTTTGAGCTTTAGCCACTAAAGCATTGATCCTCACTTTGAATTCTTCATATTCTCTCTGCAAGACATTGACAAGTAAGTGAACTTTCGTTCTGTGATTTAAAAGTAAGGATCTTTAAATCGTCACTGACCTTCATTGCTCTGCGATCTTTGACGAATGTAGGTTGGACTTTATCTTTCAAGTAATCAATTTTCTCAGAGAAGTAAAACTCTGGAGCTCTTGGCTCAACATTGTACTTCTTGCAAAACGGAACCCATCTCCTTGCAAACTCGGAAGTTTCAGACAGTGTATCGAACAGGAGCATTGAAGCACCATCATCAGACACATAGCAGCTAACCTTATTCACTGGATAATCAACAGCTAAGATCGAAAGAATTGTGTTGGCTGTGATTATCGGAGGTTCCTTAAGCGGATCCACTGTACTGACAAACACATCAACCGGTGCAAGCTTGTTCTTGTCGCCTTCCCTTTCATATCTCATAGAGAGACGGTCAAGGTAGGTTTCACGGTTAATTGGGAACCATTTCGGGAACTGATCGAGGATCCAAGAGAGAGCAAACCAGATCTCGCAGATGACTGAGATAAGCCAGAGAGGGTATGCATCATTGGCTGGTGTCAAGATACGGAAACGGAAGAAGAAAGCTAAGATCACAAGACGAAGAACGATCACGATTCGGTAAGGACTGATTTTGCTTGATGAGATTGGGACTTTTCTCCAGAGAGGTTGTCTTGCTTCAGCATCTCTGTAAAACAACAAGAACTCAGTTACTTACGCTTCAAAGTCGTTAATACTTGAGATTAAATAAAAATCAGATTTTCTGTTATTACAGGTATTCCTCTTCTTCATCGTCTTCACTGTCTTGATCCTTTGTTTGTCCTCCTTTAGTCACTAAACCTCTCTTCTCTTGCCTCGCTTTCCATTTATCCACTCGTTCTTTCCACTCTGCATCTGTGTAGGCATCTCTCTCAGCTTCAAACTCTTTCCCCAATACTTCAAGTTAAATCAAACAGAATCAGGTCTCAAAAATTTTGCTCTTATGCATCTATTTGTATATATAAATCACACATATATACCACTTCCGGTGGAAGAAAAGGCCGGGCCGTTTGGACGCGGTTGCTGCTTACTACTGTAGTCTCCATTTTCCTGCAATACCGAGAAAACACTCAGAATCTTGATTCCAAATGGGAAATAGAGAGAGAAGGGAAAACATTAAGCACAGTCATATAGTACCGATCCATAGGCAAAATTCTGGTGAACAGAAGAAGCATCGTGTCGAGTCTTGATATTCAACTCATCGTCTGAATCATCAGGACCGTTGTTTTCTTCTTCATCTCCTACAACTTTTGGAGAGCCTTCAAACAATTCGAATCACAGGATGTGAGTCTCAAGCTAAGTATGGATTTGGTAGACCAAAACAGGTTAATTTTGATTTAATTACCTTTGTGGCGTTTGTAGTGAGTGTTACACTGAGGGCAACATTTGTTACCGTTACTACGTTCGTACTCATAGCAAGGTTTGCAAACCGGGAATGCGCACACATGGCACGCCACAAAAGTCTGGCCATTATCGCTGTCTTTGATGTCATCGCTACATATTCTGCAGATCTTAGCCGAGAAGGAGGAATGTCGATGCTGCATCCACAAAAATGAACACAAACCAAAAAAGTAACATTACTTTTGAGATTATAATGTGAGCCAAACTTTCAATCTTGTATGTTCTTTCTCTTGTTTACCTCATCGTCGAAGCTGGCCATGGTGTTTGGTTCCATGGCGAAGCAAGCTGAGCTCGAAAGCAGAGCAGAAGGAGAGATAGAGAATGTGACTATGTGTTTTGGTGATTGGAGAGATCATAAGGAGTTTAAGTAGTAATATAAGGGAAAAAATGTTAGAAAATGTTGTGGAGAAAACTGAAGTTGTACCAAACTGTGAGGTGAGATTGGGTCTAAGGTTTGTGTCATAAGAAAGCTTCAATAGACAGCAAAAGAAAAAATTTGGTGGAAGAAGGAGACAGCTCATGTTTAGTCAGGGTTTGTTTTTTTATTTATATGTTTGAGCTTCTAACTTCTGGTGTTTGTTCTTCTTTTTAGTTCTTTAGAATTTGTATATATAACTTAGAGTAGCTTTCAAGTTATTATGTATCTCTACTCTAAAGTCTTCATACTTTGATCTATATGTAAACACTTCACCAAATCCAGCAATGTTCTTGAATCCCCAATTAGGT